TAAGACAAGCTGGGGTTATATTCAGTGCAAGGGCCCTAGATTCAATACCCAGCACTGAGAGGGAAAAAAGAAAAGTAATGCAAAAATGATCCTGAAGACCATGTTAAAAAATGATTGAATCTTAATTATAGTGGTGATGGTTTTACATCTGGAGAGAAATTTCCATTTGATCATGTTATTGTATTCTCCCTGTGCAAGGTGTAAAGCAAACAGACTGAGTGAGTATAATATAATATATAATATAATATAATATAATATAAATACCCGATATTTCTGGAGAAACACTAATGCTACAGTTCTCTCCCATTCTACTGTCCAAGTCTGGCTCTGAGCTGTCCACATGGCTGCACGTGTACTGCAAAGGCAGCCTCTTCTGCCGCTGTTGGATGGAGTTTGTATGTATATGAAGTATTTCGAAGATTCTGTATCCTTGCTAGAGGACTGTTTATTGGATTTTCCTGTTACTCAATCAGAGATGCTAAAACATCCCACCTCAATCTGTGGTTTTCTCTCTATTTCCCCCTTTAACTCTATGGGTTTAGCTTCATGAATTTTTATGTTCTATCTTTTTTGCATGAGAATGGTTGTTTTGTATTCCTGGAAAAGTTCTCCTTTTCTCATTGTGCAATGTCTTTCTTGGCTTACTATCATATCCTTTATCTCAGAGGCTGCCTTTTCTCATATTAATACACTTACACCAATTTTCTTATGATTAAACTTTGCATGTTGTAACTTTCTCATTTCTTATACTCAACTTATCTGTCTATATTTCAAATGTATACCTTCTCTAAGTCAGATGTTATTACTGCTTTTTCAAAATCATTTTGTGTTGAAATCATTATGGACTCACAGGCACTTGAGGAATGAGGTGTTCCATGCACTCCTTACCCAGCTTCACCCAGTTTTGGCCATTTGCAAAAATAATAGGGTGATATTAAAAGCAGCAAATGGACTTTTTCACCAGCAGTATATGACAGGCCTGAATTCTTGTCATCCACTCTTGCATTAGGTAACTGAGATTTTTCATGTTAGCAATTCAAGTAGGTTCGGGTGATACAGCATCGTGGTTTTAAATTGTATTTCTTTAATAGCTAATTACAGTGAATATCATCTCTTTTTTCTAAGGGTTTCACAGGGTCACTAAGTTGCCAGACGGCACTGGGACTTGTGATTCTCCTGCCTCAGTCTCTCTCCAGAGTTATCCGATGACAGGCCTGCTCCACTATACTTAGGCCCAACACATTTTTATTTGCCTATTTCGTAAACTGCCTTTCATTTCTTTTGGCTCTTTTCAAATAAGATTTCTTTATTTTGAGTTTGGGGGAACTTTATAAAATACATTCTAGACATTTCTACCTTCGCAGACAAGTTCTGCACATATTTTGTCCAGTTTATGGCACTGATTCACCTGTAGCTCCAATGGAGAGGAGCAGCTGCCTGGAGAAGTCTTGCCAGGTCTCCATCAGGCCCTGGATGACACTGATTCGCAGCCCAGAGAGAGAGGCACAGCTCCTCAGCATTTGGCGCTCCTGGGGGAGAAGCACTCGGTGAGAGGCACTGGAGCTCTAGCCA